TGCCAACTATTGACTGGGATGAGGATCTCCCTGACCATCTCTTAACTTGGCTTAGCAACAAGCCCCGCGAGGTAATATTCGTAACTGTCGGACACGCACTATCAAGGCTACAAAAGGAGCTCGAGGCTGCCCCTGGTGTCAAGCAGGCAATGGACGAAAGCGGTGCACAAATCTCTATCTACTCAGTACCCGAAGCCAACAAGCGAACTCAGCTATGTCGAGGAATTAACCAAGCAACAGGCTCGATTATTGCCCTCGTCGACGATGACGCCCTATGGACGACTCGAGAAGTACTAACAAATCTACTCGCTCCTTTCCAGCAGGATGACATAGGCCTCGTCGGAGGACCCATCGACTCGTATGTACCAACCGAACGCCAAAATTCCAAAGTCATCAGTGGCTGGGAAGTTGCCGCTCTGAGAATACGACAGAAGCGGGAGAATGGGATGGCGGCGTTCTATGCTGCTGATGGCTCGACAAATTTCACGGTATCCGGGCTTACAATGCTGCTGAGAGCAGAGATTGTGAAAGATCCCTACTTTCAGCACCTCTTCACAAACGACATGTGGAATGGAATGAAACAAAATACCGGCGACGACGGATTTATCACGCGCTACATCCTTTACCAGCATCACCTCCCGGATCGCCACAAATCCTCGGTTCAGCCAAGGCAATGGAGACTCGGTATCCAACTTAGGCCCGAAGCCCGAGTTTTGACTAGTTTGATGCGGACCAATGCGTTTGCCCACCAGAGCAAAAGATGGTATCGGTCCGGCCTTAGACTGCGACTTACTTGCCTTATTTACGAGCCGGGATATCATAAGATGAAGACAACGGCGCCTTACATGGCCAGAAAGATGGCTGCGGGTATGATAACCCCTTTTTTCACGATTGCTCGGGCATATCTGTGGTATAGATTGTGGGTACACTTTCCTTGGTTCGCGCTGTTACTGATTTCTTATGTTCTGTACAATTGGTTTGCTGGGCTTTATGCATTCTACCAGCGGTTTCCGTACTGTGGTTCGAAGATCTGGGCCGCTATGATCGCCGACAACATGTACCTTATTTCCGATTTCTATTCTTGGGCGACCTTATCCACCGAGTCGTGGAGTAATAGATCTAGTGTCTAGACAAGCATCGCCCCATGAAGATGATGCCAGTGAATGTGAGAATGATTTTAACATTTCAAGTAAATCAGAAGATATACCAATAGCATGGCTTTGTAAAAGACCATAAATATTTTGTAGGCGTTGTGTAAACTTTATACTCAGATCAATCTCTACCTTTAGACCCTTTTACCGCCTGTAATGTCTTGTGCTCGTGTTATTCGCCAAACAATGTCTTTGTAGAATCTCTTTGGGGTTTCCCCGGTGAACCTAGGTGCTATTCTAAACAAGTGGATTGTTGTGTAGGCAGTACGCATGGATCTCGAACATCCCTTTTCGCATTATCCTGGATGCGAGACAACCTGTTCTCCATACCACAGCAGCAAAGTTTAATAGGTTGAGTTTAGAAGGAGTTTTCAAATAATATTAATCAATAGCTCTATGACTGCAATTCTCACTAATTCAAGGATGTAATCACTTTCCTTTACAAAGCACAAATGCTATAGATATTGTACGGCTCAAAATGATAAAGGAGCTTACAATCATATGACGTGAGTTGGAAGTTACGAAAAACCTGCACGTGGGAATCCATCGCAAACAGTAGAGTTATACCTTTCATATTCAACGGAGCTAGGCAGCGTAATTCCAGATTTCAGATTTATACTTAATTGCTTGGCAAGCATTTAAAATTAGGATGGCTGTGGAAGGAATCGCATACAGATAATGCGGAGAATACTAGATTATCTGGCCACTCAACTTGAAGGAACATATTTCTATCAAATAAGCATAATTGATAAAGTATGTCGATCTCTAGATCAGTCGTCTTCGGGTTGGACGTTCCGCTCGTGCCGTTCAGCCGCTCAGCTTGGTTCCAGCTGAATCTAAAAATAGACACCAGCATCACCACTCAGCTATGACTTCATTGGCCAATCCTTCCCAAACTCCTTGAAGCCCTATTTGAGGCTCTGCATCACGATACTCTTTTGTAGGCAATGATTGACTTTAGCTATGACTTCATACTTCAATTTTAAAACTCCATTGAAGTTGAGATTGAATCTCCGCGACGGCGTAGGAAGCACTATTATCAATGGAAACTGATAGTATCGCCACGAAGGCATACACGAGATCGGGCGACTGTAGAGTTCGAGTAGCGAACAATGAAGATCAACACTGTCGCGATCGTCATCGTAACTCTAGATAGAGAATATAGGAGGTTAAATGTGTATAAATAAAGGGCTCGTTTTCTTGCCATTGGAGTGTATCATTCTCGACAATCAGAACAACAACACTCATCAACTACACTGAAACCTCCTCCAAGCAAAGCTTCTTCAAACATTTCACAATGACACGAACTAAATCAGCCAGCCTTCTCGGCCTCGCAACTCTTCTACTCCAAGTAAGCGCCTACAAGTTAACCACTTACAGCGAGAAGGGCTGTAAAGGTGATGTCCAGCAGACAATTGAGGACACCAAATATGGTGACTTCTGCCATTCTTTCAAGGACAAGGCAGTATCAGTGAAGGTAGAAGGCTCTGGCGAGGACTACCAGTGGGTTTTCTTCAACAACTGGTGCGATAAAGACGCCCAGGTCGGTTCATTCTTAGGAGATGGCTGCATGACTATGGGCAAGACAAAGATCAAGGCGGTCAACAATATCCTACCCGAAGGATCCCCTAGCAAGAGCAAGCGAGCTTCTGCTGGTGTTGTTAAAACTTGGAAGAACAAGGACTGTTCTGGAAATCCTGTGTAAGTTTCTTTCCTCATACGACTTTTAATGACGCCCATTCTAACAAAGCTACTGTACAGCAATGAGAAAAAGTTTATTGGCGCGAATCTTCCTGTCACCCTGAACGATGTCTCATCCATCAAGGTAGAAGATGTCCCCGACGAAGACATCGCTTTTGCTTGCAGCGACTCGGACTGCCATGTTGAGAACCAAGTCGCCACTCTGGAAAACGGCAAGTGTGAAAATGTCGAAGGCAAGAAAGTCAAGTCTGCCATGGCCATCGGAGTACCTACTCCCCCTGGTGGCCGCCGCGATACACTTCCCAAACGCCGTTACACACGAAGTCTTATGTTGGAGGCTCGGGAGCTAGAAAATCTTAAGATCCGCGCTGAGGGTGTCGAATGCGATGCGAAGGACGGACCTGACTACAAAGACGCTCTCAAGGTCGGTGATGAATGGCAAGGAGACAATGGGCTCTCGTGCTGCTGCCATGTCCCTGGTGGTCCCACCTCGAAGTCTTCTGGTTCGGCCAAAGCCTCCATCAGCGAGAACATCCAGTGCCCGGCTGACCCCTCTGGTATGCCGCCGCCACCCACTACCTGCCCCCTGAACTGCAACCAGATGAGGAGCTACGTCTACGCTATCGCGACTAAGTGCAAGACGGATGACGGCAAGACGGGCGGCACCTACAAACTCCCTGGTGACCGCGAGATCAAGGTCTCTCACAGCTAAATGATGATTTATCACAATGGTTTTTCTATGTTACGACAGCGATGGATATTTTATGAGTGGGATACGACGCATTTCCTTACTGTTCAACACAGGAGTCGCTTCTCTGCTGTATTTGTAGATTTGTACTATTATGTCTTTGTATGCACCTACCTGCCTTGAATTGAACGTTCCTCAAGTTTCCCCCTTTAACAAGCATCAGAAATATATTATGTGCTCATGGACTTTAGCCACACGTCAACCTCTTCATATCTTCACTACTAGTAGCTACCTGTGTTGATATTAGATATTATTGGGATGAATATTTAGTCACTGGGAAGCTTTCTTTTGATATGTAGAAAACGTTGGTTAAAGCCGACCTCATAAATTATCATACCATGACCTTACAGCATGTCGTCGTCTGTTCGTAGCACACTCGACAACAAAGGTTGTAAACAAGCAACAAATACCACTAGAAATCAGGATATCCACCTAGATGGTGGCAGATACATCAGTTTCCGATGCTTACCCTGCTTTTCAAGAGGTACCAGGCCATACATATTAGAAGTGTGAGGGAGTAGTGCTTAGGTCCTCTTGAGTGGTACCAACAAGTGCATAGTATCCGGGACGATCCAAGTAGATTATCGTCATGACGATTCACACCTAAGTTCGCAGCCTAACCAAGAAACTGGATTCCCTAGGAAACAATGACAACTGGAGTAACTTCTGCGTGAAATAAAATGGTCGTAGCCTAAGCAAGATTCACTGTAGTGTTCTTGGAGAGCACAACCTTTTCTTACTTCTTCACCTTGTTTTTTCCTTCTACCTTGCAACAGTCAATAACTGCTAAGGTGACGATACAAGCACTCTTCAACCTGTCTGGCCTAGCACTGAGCTGAGGCAAGGCTGTCAATATCCAAAGAGTTTTTTTATTGCCAAATCCACCCCATATCTTCAACTTCGTGGGTCGCAGTTCGATACGACGACAGGCTCTCCTATCTTGCCGTTCGTCAATTTTGAAATACTAAGAAAGGTAAGCTACAGAATCCCCAAGTGAACATGAACCCCATCTCCATGTTTTAATGTACCCTCTGTGGGAGACGACGTGTACATGTCGACTCAAACTACTTCGTCTCATTCCCACTGAGCTTCATTTTCATACAAACTATTAAGTAATAAGACACCTTGATTTTATACTGACATTAGCAAAATTCCTCGAGATCGTCAAGTAGTCAAGAAACCCCTTTGCCAGTCGACTTTCAAACTGTTAGCCTTCCACCATCGCAAGACTATCCACCAAGCCCTCGCCATCGGTATATCATCAGGGCAAACTTCTTCTAAGTTACCATATCCAATTTGTGTCAGCTCTCTCTACCAACCCCTTTTCACCTTTACCCAAGTCACCTACCTACCTACCCACTCAAACAAGCTTACCCGTACAAAGCAACAATACCGCCAAGATGTGTATGCAGATCTACCACAGCTACGCCCGCTGCCCGTGCCAGATCCGCCGCATCTTGTACCGCTGCAAGCTCGACGACGAGGCCAAGTGCCGTTACGTGCGCAAGCACGTCGTGGACTCCGGTCTCCCCTTCTGCTCGTACCACAGGGTGGTCGCCCGGGACCGCAAGGGCCGCCTCCGCCGCTACTGGGACGCCCGCGGCCGCAAGCTCTGGCCCGCCCCCAAGCCGCGCCCGCTCCGCCGCAGCACGTTCTCCCGCGCTACGGTCGCTGACACCGAGTGCTTCCCGCAGGAACACCACGATCCGTACGATTCTTCCTCTTGGGAGGACGGCATGGATACGGATGAGTCCGACGGTGATGACGACTGGGACTTCGACGAGGTTCCTGGCCTTCGCGTGGTTGGTGAGGATGTGCCTAGCTCCGGAGAGGAGTACACGGGCGACGAGATGGACATTGACGGTTGAGAGTGCGATGTGCTAAGAAGAGGAAAGCATGACTAACCCTCTAGTCGGCCATACTATTGCATCGTCGGTCTGTTCAGCAAACACATGTTTCCTCCCTCAAGAGCACCCTCGCAGCCTGTATAATCAAGTCAGTCGAATTGTCCCGAACCCAGCTGAGCACCACGTTTGCACTTGCAGTCCACCTTATTCAGGACATTAATCACCTTGAAGTGGCCCCGCTGGGTGTTGCATCTATGAGGTTCTTTGCTTCTGTTTTCCATTAGTTTTTTTTTGATTCGAATAATATCCATCACGTCGAACGATAAGGCAGTCTGTGATGATATGAAAACAGTCGTGCCAGGATCAAATTCTATGTATCAGACGTATTTGCTTTGCGTGTAATTAGTTCGCCTACTCTAGTTTACCATGAGTACAATTCTAAAAAAAATTGAAGCTATTCAACTTCTCTTATTAACGTTAATCTTCACAACCTAGCAGTTTGTCCTAGGACCGAATTGCGAATATCCATGTGACACCCAGTAAAAATTCCATAAAGGCTATGTCCATATTATTCCGCTTATGGACTTGTTATTAAGGTTAGTCTTTATGACCAAACTATGAGTCCCTGGAGGTCTACGAGGTAAATCCAGCAGAGTTGGTACGACAAATACAACGTGGATGTTGATGCAGAGACTCCAACAAAAGGTCTAAAATACAACCAACGTTTCTTTAACTAAATTATGTATATTAGAATTTCCAACTTCATACATTTCATAACTCGGATAGACCATCCTACCGGTCTATTTACCTATCATAACGCCCAAAGTGGCGAGCCAAGTATTGGCTCATCTTCAAGCCCCTTTCCAACAAAAAATCTCATATGCGTCGTGTGGTCATTACTATGAGTGCCGCTCATTTATCCTACCCCGTTGACATGTATCCCCTCTGCTGGCATCTCAGAACAAGTGGTATCAATGTCCTAAACTCCAAGGTGTTCTGTTCTCCTGTGCCTGACAGACCCAATTTATTTCCAGCCCGGTTCCCCAGGATACCGCCTGCCGCCAACGCCCGTTACTATAGGACTATGCCTTCGATCTTTATATCGTCGCCGGTCACGGGAGTCTCTTTCATCGGCTGTAACAACTCTCCTTCCATCCCAATCATAATCAGAATCTCGACTCCTATCCCTACGGTCCCAAGTGTAATCTCTACTTCTCCCCCCAATATCAGCATGACTGCTCGCTCTTCTGGGCTCTGCTGGACGCAGATACGCCCTTTCCCGACTCCTTCTTCTCTCTAACTCTTCTTCCCGTTCACGCTCCCTCAGGCGTTCCTTTTCGATGACTCTATCGCGGATACGCTCGTGCTCGCGGTCGCGTCGCAGGGGATATTTGGGAATCCCTGCCTCAGACTCATCGCTAGGATACGACTCCCCGGAAACGCTTCGGCTAAGTCGTGAGGGACGTTCTCTCCGAAAGCGTACAGTCGGTGCGACATTCGGTGGGTGACGGTTCTCACGGGAGTTACTTCGGTGTCGTTCAGAGGTTCCGGAGAGAAAGGATGTAACCTTCTGCTTTATCTCCGCTGGTAAACTCCTTCTACGTACGTCATCAGGACGTACGTCCGACCGTATATCCGGCCGTATTTCGCTACGATGAGAACGAATCGGAATAGGCGGTGTTACAGGAGTCACAACCGGCATACGTCGAATGGTAGGAGGAGGCGGTATAGGCCCATGTACTCGTGACTTAGAGCTGGCACGAGGCGGCACATCGGAATCGGAATCTGATGGAGAGGGAGAATAGGGCCTTGATTGGCTATGGCGGTGTGGAACATGCGGGCGGCGGGGATCAAGATGGCTTGAAGGACGAATATCATCCATTTCAGAACGGCGAATTTCCGAAAAGCTTGGTTGCCGAGGCGGTCGGTCTGGTGAACTACTACTGCTCCCACCAAGAGAACTGCTGCCACTATTGCTGCTGCTCATCCGTCGCTGCCTAGGTGGAATAGGGCCGGAAAAATAGGGGCCAGCGTAATTACTCCTCGACACATGAGCGTACGAGACAGGCCGTTCCCGCTGAAAATAATCCATTTCCGGTCTTTGACGAGGCGCGGCAGTATTGCTTGGGGGGTTGCGCACATGGGTAAAAGCGGTATGAATCCGGGGTTCGGATTCGCGGCGTCTGGGCGGATGCTCATCTTTAGGTGTAGCCTCTTCCCGAAGCCTTCGTGCGCATTCCTTATGCCAGGCATCTGTCTCGGGATCGCATTCGGCTGGAAAAGCCTCTGCTGGTAAATCAGGTGGAAAGGGTTTTCCAGTATCGGGATGTACCAAAGCCCAATTGCGCACAGCAAATTGCATGAAAGGTACATGTTCTTGGGGCTCCAAGAGGATCTGGATCGCTTCCCATCGTACGAACCCTTTTAGCGTTAAAGCAGGAACGGATGGTTCTTCGAAAGGATCATCGGTAGGTTGCAACGTATGTTGAACGCCCAGAGCTTGCCATATGTAAGATATGGACTTGAAGGGGCAGTGTAGAAAAAGTTGGTCATAGTCACCACCGACAGCACGGTAAAAGGCGGCTAATTTTATCGGGTTTAGTTCATGGACATTTGTGTCGCCAATATTGGTAGACTGTAGTCTTTAAGTCAGTACACACACATTTTCTCACCCTGCATATACCTGAGCACGAATGTGAGAAATAAGACGAGGCCTACAATGTATTGTCCGATGGCGCGGAGTAGCGCATCGAGGATGGGGGTCGGCGATTTCCCGTCGAACAGATAGCCGTAATACTCTTTCGGATCGGGTTCGGGCGTCTTTGACTGCGATGGTGATTCTGGCTGGGACTGCGGCTTTGGATGAGGTGTATCGTTAGGGGTCGGTGCGGTAGCGGCGGGTTCACTGCTGTCAGCCTTTAAGCTTGCCATGTCTACTTATTCATAAGAAGTGTCGATGGCGGTTGGAAAAGCATTGAGAGGCGAATCGGAAGTAGTCAGCGTTAGAGCGTAGAGGTATAATGCGAACACGTTGAATCAAAGAGACTTGTTTCGGAAATAAAAGCGCGAATTATATTACTGAATGAGGTAGGCTGATAGAATTGATGGGAATAGATAGAATAGTTTGATCGTCGATCCTACGACGTTCAGGGGATAAATGATGACAACGTCATTCGCGAATGGGGACAACGACTGCGGCCGCTGCGTCACAAAAAGAAGGCGGCATTCAGAACAGTACAAATTGTGTGGGAAATCGTAGTAGGTAAGATAATAATTATATATAATTGTATGTAAGCTATTGGACAGCCTCAAAGAGACAAGACAAGACAAGACGATGGGTAAAAATGAGTCGATTTCATCTGGAGTTGTACGAATGCAACTGCAGATGATTCACACTGGCACAGCCGTAACCATGGACAGTTGGGTTCTTGGAAGAAATATTCGGCGCACTGCATTTTTTTTTGTTTTTAAGTGGTGGGTTAAGGTGGGATGTATTTCAAGGTCGATAGGCTTCCATAGGCACAAACAACATGGGGGGGTGGTTTATAGATAGAATTGAACCAAGCAACAGGCTTTTTGGGGGAGAAAGAAAAAAAAAAAAAAAAAAAAAAGAGAGCCCCGCGCCAAATTGCCTGCTGACACGTGCACCCGACCTTACATAGGTGTATCTTAGGTAGGTACACTCGGAATATATGCCTGACGTAGCTAGTGGCATATCGTACCTGCCAGTAAGAAATAAATATGCCAAACTTGACTAATAAGAGGTACTTTACTTAATTTCTAAGAAGGACCTGAAAGTTGACAAATTCAACATCAAAATTAATATATGCCACTCAACTATTTGTCTCAATTGTATCTGTATCGTCCTACCTAGCACGATAAGAAGTAACAACAAGGACATCTAACTAGTCGCAATATGGACCTACCTCGTATAATTCCGCCTTGTTAGGCCAAACAGGTACGACAAGAAGATGCACGGCTTTTCAGAAATACACGCATACCAACCGAGCACATGTATGCGTGTTCTACATACTACATACATATACCTCATGTATACCTACATGTACGCTGGCTGCATGCTGGTTCCAGTACATGTATGCTAGTATCCGCATCTTGTACGACAACTTACGACGATTAATTTTCCTGCCACTTACGTCTTCGTACCATTTCATTTCGGTACCTATCTCTCGATTACTCACTATCCCTGTAATATACGAACAAATCAGAGCATCGCCATCAACGAGTATCATCTGCTATTCCAGTTACTACCTACTCAAGGATTATATCAGTTAGATCGGCACGTCTGTATTATGGCTGTGTGTAGCCCAGCCATATATTATACACCCTAGGAAGCGCGGCTACTCCCAATTCCTTGGGGCTGTTATTCTGCATCAAATAAAATTCTGTAATTCCCCACTACCAGATGCGGCCATTCTGTCACTGGCTGGTAAGGCACTTTCTTCAACAGTTTATACCATATGTCATTAAGACTAACCTTTAGTCTTTTCGGTCGGGCGACTTGAGAACGAAACCAACAAGAGTAATATCATCTACAATTCCCTCCCTTGTATCGGACTCAATCCACCTTGTAAATTCTTGGAATCCAGCTTTCTCGAGGACATGCTTACTACCTGGGTTTTTCTCATCAGCCATGGCTGACAACATTTCCGGCACCTCTTCGGACCCATTCACCGAATCTGCAGCAACCTCAATCTCAACCTCGGAACGTGGCAAAGTCCACCAATGCTCCGTAAATGCCCTCAGGAACTCGGTGGCATATCCCTGACCCCAATATTCTCTCTTGAGCATGTAGGCAATCTCGGGCCATCCAAAGATTAGATCAACTTTCGGCATCCCACCAGTCCCGATTATTTCCCCGGTTGAGGCGAGACAGAGTACATTGTGGTAGGTCCGGATATCGTTAGGCGGTAGATAACGGGCTAGGTATGATGTCCGTGTCTCATCCTTGCTAGGATCAATTCGACCGACTGCCGTGAAATACATAACCTCCGATTGAGTACGTAGGGCGTAAATGCCGTCAAGGTCGT